TCAGGGCTTTTCAAGGTTGTAGCGATTATTTCTGGTCTGATATATCATCTCTTGATACAGGCTTCATCAATCCCAGATGAAAGTTCATTAAAATATATTGAAAATGTGAGTTTTATTAATTTTTTTAGAAGTAAATAAAACCAATGGAAAAGTCATCAGAAATGAGGTTTTTACCTTGTTGGGAAGACTACTACTTCTAAAGAGTCATTAATAGAAAAAGTAAGGAATTTTATCTTAAGATTTTTAAAATGTTCTCAAGAAGGCATACTGCAAATAAACTGCCAATGATTATTATGCAGTTCACATTTTTGGGACACTTCCTGACAGGTGCAAATGTATGCAGAGGACTAGTTTCCACTTTTAAAATGGAAACATATTCTGGCATGGGTTAAAAATGAATCTTTGATCCTACAAGTGTGAGGCAAACAAAGTACTCACTATTAGAGCCACTCATTCGGGGAGGAGGATTCCACAGTTTATCACAACATAAGCATAATTAAACAGGTATTAAACAGGACCTCATGCCACTGCTGCATCTTTCTTCACAGGGTGAGGCCAATAATGACAAAAACTTTGGATGGGTGAAAAGGTAAATAAAAACAAATCCATTTTGTTTTCCTTTGAGTCATTACTGTCATCTTTGGACCAGGAAAAGTAAGAAAATCTTACAGATCACCTTACCAACTCTGCCACAGGATCCAAACACTATGAAAGGTAACTGGTGATCAAATCCCCCATTTTGCTGATTAAACTCATTCCATGCAAAAACGAACTGAATCAAACAGAAGCTTGATGGCCCAAAGCAGCAATTCCACTTTTAATTGCTATTTTTTTAGCAAATTGGAAATGGCAGACAGGAAAGGGGGCCTGGGTCTGAGAGCTAATTTCTGTTCTTCTGTATCCCTTAGATTCTGGTTCCAAGACTGACAGTTGGCATGCACTGGAGACGCAAGGGGGATCTCTCAAGTGACACAATAAAAAAAACCCTTGGCTCCCCTAATGGCAAAGCACCTTTACTTGATGTGCCTGAAGCATCCTGGACTTAAGGTTCATTATCCATTCAATGATCATTTGGCTGGGAGCCCATCTGCTGAGCGCCAGGCTCTGTGCCAGGGCCATGGGGTTGGAATGGGCCTTACGACCTGTTGAGCAGCTAACATGCACAGGGAAACAGTGATGGGAATTCAGATGAAGGAGGTGACTTTTCCGGAGAAACTTGAGAAAGGTTGTAAAGAAGGGTAAGCATTTAGTTGGGACATCAAAAATAGATGGGAATTCAACATGAGAAGAAAGTAGGGCAATCCAAGTGGATCAGTTCCCATTCCAACCACGGCTCAGAGATCACTGAATGAAGAAACCCACTTTACTCATAACCCTTAAAATTTCATAACAGATTCCTATCTGGCTGCCTGGCCTCTTTATTCTGTTTTACACACTGCACTCTGAAAAAAGGAAAACTTCCAATAACCATCACCACCACAAATAACAACTTTCAGTAGGTCTCCTTGAAAGATCCAATAAAGTTCTTCACAATTAAATGCCAGCTTCACCTTTCCAATTTCATAAAGTCCTTTTAGGGCATATCGTAGACACTGAGCCTCTTAGTGCTCCAGGACGACTGTAATGTGGGATCATATATGCCTCTGTGTACATTTTCCTCCTTTCCCTGGTCAATCCCACTCCCATTTCTGCATGACCCATTCATTCACCTGACATTCACTGGTCGTGCCATAGTCACATACCAGGTACAAATGCCAGGCACTGAGAACCAGAGAGGAACCACAAAAAAGAGTCACTGACGGAAACTACTGCCCACAATATGTATTTTACTTAGAGATTTTTAACAAACATATGGAATTAGCCAGCTGAATGATATAGCCTTAAAATTATTTAACATTTTAAAATTAACAAGTCCAGAACATCATCTAATAGCCATGCATATATCAACCACTCCTTCATTTAACAGTTGTTAAGATTTTGTTATATTTGCTCCAGATGGCTCTTGAATAAAACGCTACAGATTCAGTGAAAGCCTAATTCCTAGTATCATCCTCCTTTCTTCCTTTCTAGAGGTTCCACTATCTTAAATTGGTGTCATTCCAAAATATTTCATACTTTTACTCCACATGCATACACTGAAAAAAACACCAAGTACTGTTTAATTATTATGCAGTATTGCTATATATATATTTTAAATTGCTCATAGATTATATCCTCCTATAGTTATTCTTCTGCAACTTACAGCTTTTCAAGTCTGTTTTGCAAACACGTCCATGTTGATACACGTAGATCCAGTTATTTCATTTTAACTGCTCTAGAGTTTCATTTTAACTGCTTTAGAGTGTACCTATTAACAGTTTATTTTCCATTTCTGTCCTGAAGAATAAGTATATTCTTTGTAATTTTTACTTTTGCAAATGATGCTGCAATGAGCATCCTTTGTATTTTACTGTGCACACCTGTCAGACTTCCCCCAATGGTATCCAGTTCTTGGGAGTGTGAAACTATTCTTTTGCTCACTGATTCTTTCACTGATGGTCAAGTTTATGATATGTATTTCAATGCATTTATTTATTTATTTTTACAAAATCAGAACTAATTCAGAAATACATGATGAACAAAGCACAGTGTGAAACTGTCCTTCCTACCCTCTTCAACACATCTTTTCTTATTTTTGTACACTCAGGTGCTATAATCTCTCATCTGGATTCCTTAGCTCTAGTGAAGGTATTTGTGTGTGTGAATGGTTGTTCAAACTGATGTTTCTGTGAGAGGATGAGCACTGACAAGTCCTATCCTGTCATCTTGCTGATGTCACTCAAATTTGTGTTTTATACTATCTCACGGTGAGCTCATCTTTAATGGTGCCATTTTCTCAGCTGGGGACTCCTGAGCAATGTGGATAGTTACATTTGGGCTCCAAATCCACATATGGTAGAAGCCTGGGGTTTGCTAATCGTGGGGTCCTTTAAAGGACATGGCTTAGTACAGTAATCTTAAGTTCAAACATACCATCTTGAGCTCACACAAGACTTCATTCTTCGGCTCCTATATGGGTATAAAACCCACCTCTAGTGCTTACTTTGAGGTTTGACAACTGTTCTAACATCTCCTAGAGGTAGCTCAAGCTTCTGGCTCTGGCTTTCAGTGCTCTTTCTAGTTTTGACATCTGGGGATTTTCCCTCCTCTTCTGCCATTTCCTCTAGGTATTGGTCTTTATTATTGATATACCAAGTATTACTAGGAGTTTATCAAGAGAATTTCTATTTTAATTTAGTTGGTAATACTGCCAGAATAAGAAGTACTAACAGAATTCTGTTAAATGTTGAATCACTTTTCCATTAAAATATAATTCTGGTTAGAAAAACAAAACCAGTTGGTTCATACCTTTTAGAAATATATAATAACATATTATTGAGTTTGTGAATTGTTCTTTTTGGTGTTAAAGATATGAATAATTTCTAAAAAATATTATAGAGAATTAAAGCTAATTTTTGTTTTCACAGTTTTAATTTCCTTAACAAATTATTTCATTGGGTATTGCAAAGTCTGAGTTAGAAATTTCTAATTTATTATTTTATACCTTGCTTATGATTCTCTTCCTATAAAAACCTTTCTGGATATTTATAAAATAATTACATAATCTTATATTTGTTTTGTAAAGGTTTCGACGACCTTTATTTATATGCTTTATGCCTTACCAAACATATCAATATACACAACTGTTAAGAGAGATGAACAATTCACATGACTACAACTTACCAGCCCAACAGTTTAATGTTCATACCAACAATCAGTTAGAAACAACAGACAGCATTCTATTCACTAAGAAGTTTTTTTGCCCATGAGTAACACAAGATACTGAAAAGTAGAATAATTATGAGGTTAGAAATGACTGAGAGAAAAGTTATTGCAGGCATGTCTACCTAAGTGTAGGCAGATCAAATTTAAAACTGCAAGCAATGAAAGCATTTTACAGTAGGCTTTATAGAAATATGTAATTATTAAGAAAGAAATCTATAGGTAGGATAAGCAATGATTTAATTATTTAGAACATGTAGTAATTTTTACAAGAATGATGCTTTTTTTTTTTTTTTTTTTTTTTTTTTTTTTTTTTTTTTGAGATGGAGTCTCGCTCTGTCGCCCAGCCCAGGCTGGAGTGCAGTGGCCGGATCTCAGCTCACTGCAAGCTCCGCCTCCTGGGTTTTACACCATTTTCCTGCCTCAGCCTCCCGAGTAGCTGGGACTACAGGCGCCCGCCACCTCGCCCGGCTAGTTTTTTTGTATTTTTTTTAGTAGAGACGGGGTTTCACTGTGTTAGCCAGGATGGTCTTGATCTCCTGACCTCGTGATCCGCCCGTCTCAGCCTCCCAAAGTGCTGGGATTACAGGCTTGAGCCACCGCACCCAGCCAACAATGATGCTTTTAAATAGCATGAGAGGTATTTAAATAAAAAATAACAATCATGACTATGTTTTTATAGTAATGCACTCATTTTGTATTTACTATATATGAGTACAGTAAATTATTCCTTATAGTAATTAGTTTGTGTGGTACTTTCATAGAGTTCTAGAAAAACCCAAAGTAAACTGGAGACCTTTTTAAAAGTTAATGCAATCTTATTTAGAAATATTTCTTAGTTTAAAGAAAATCAATACCAGGTGTTCAAAGCACCAGCCAATTAGCTTTACCAAATAATTAGCAATTAATCCCAACAACATCCATTAACTGTGTGGACATATGAGGAATCTGAAGGCAGCACAGTAGCTTTTGCTACAGAAGCTTGCCAATGCTATAGAAAACATTTTAAGCACAGGACTGAGGGACAGTCGATACAGCAAGAGGCTTCTCAAAATTAGAATAAATGGACATTTTTGGTTTCAAATTCTGGAAGGCAAGTTAACAGTAACAACACTAACAGAATCATTTGCTGCATACAGAACAACTTAATAAGGTATGTAACTTGAGTGTGCATAAAGATGGAGCCATTGGCCCTGTACCTGGTGCTGGCGATGCTTGGTGATTCTGCTCCAAGCCTACATCTTTCTAGCTGACTGGCAACAATCTGCCTTTCCACTTCCAGTTCTCGGGTGAGTCGTTGAAACTGAAGCTCCTGTGATTCAAAGAAATAAAAGGCATATAAGGCTCCGAGGTATGCTGCTCAGGCAGATATATGAAGTAATGTATGTCACAGGAAACACAGGAACGTACCCATAACATATAGCTATGGTGTGGCTTTGTGAAATGCAATTTGTGGATGAAATAAATGACCTATTGATTCCTAGCTTTTTCAAATCTAAAGGCAATAGAATATCAGCCTTTGTTTGGGATAGAAAACATGTAGATCTTTATTTGCCTTTTCTGATTTTGGTTCTAACTGAGGTCTTTAAACAGTACTTCTGCTACAGTGCCTTATTAAAGTTAAGGCTTCCAGAGACCTTACTTAATGTATCTACATCAGAGGCACAGCAAACAATGGCTACTTTTTATATTTCTCATACTATATGTCAGCATAGTTTAAAAAAATGTAAATCCCCATGATCAGAATCACTTTACCATGTTTGATATATAGTCTTTTAATTAATAAAAAAAAATGATTCCAATGCCACAGAAAGTCTTGCCATATTTATCTATAATACAACCAACAAAAATTTGCTGTGTCCAAAAGCAATCATGTGCCACCATGCAAAGGGAGAGAAGGAACACAAGAAATGAAAAAGACTAAGCCATAACATGGAATTTAAAATATATTCAAAAGCTGGAAGAGTGTCTACAGAAATTATATTCTTCAATCTACGTTGCAAAGTGAAGGCAAACAAGTTCTATGAAAGGAGAGGATGTTTTAACTTTATTTGTATTTCTCTCATTGTTAGTTTGATGGGATTTTAATAAGTAGAAAACATGTCATGTTATAAAATATCTAAAGATCAAGTATATTCCAAAGGTTTTAAGCCACAAATAGCATCTCAAGCTCCCCTGTGCCATATTGTCTCCTCACAAGTCTACTCAAAGCAAATGCTGAACTGTAAGTAGCTTAATTTGATGACTGCTAGTTCAAAATACCAGACATATTAGTATTAAATCTAGAAACAATTCAGAAATAAAACAACCTAAAAATATTATTTATGATTATATTTATACATTTGCCATTAAAAATTTTAATTGAAAAGTACATGAACTCCCTGTGAAATCAGGCAAACATGTAATTGCTTGACAGCACTGGCTCTGCAAATTCCACAAGCTATTCTTAGAATAATTTTTAAGAAACAGTTCCTAAACTCCTTACCACCTTCTGATACTGCGAATCCTTTCCTAATGATCCCAGTTGGTGTGGGCGTATTGGACAGGGCCTAGATGAATAATAGCTGGCTCAATAACGCTGTACAATATGATCATAATCGGTAAGTGGGACAATGCTTGCCTCTGCCTAACAATTCTTAGGCTCTTAATAGATGTTCAGTAACAAAAGACTAGATAGACATAAATTGTTCAGAATTCAGTACAAGGCTAAGATCCAATTTGAAAATACTATTATGCTTAACTCACACTTACTCTTTCTTTGCTCTGAAACAGCATCATTTTTTTTTTTTTTTTTGTGATAGACTTCCATTCGTTCACTTCTTTTACTTACTTGTTATTACATGCATCTTTTCCCACAAGACTGCCTGGTTCTATCAAGCTGGGCCAGGAAAGGACTACTCGGGAATCCCAAAACATTCCCCAAGCCACCATATTACCTTCGTCCTCTGAGTTCAGTGGCTACTAGGGATTGGGAGCTGGAGTATTGTCCTCATTTTGGGATGGCCAAAAGTTACCATATCAGGTATAGTATGAAGATACATTGCAAATAAGAACAAAGAAAAAAACTTCCATTCATAGAAAAAAATTCCACTGTACAGGAATGAATTTTTATCATGTCTGTGGCTGCCTATGACCTTGTAAACAACCTTTCAAGGAAATGGCTGGGAAAGTTCCAGCTTGAAGGCAGAAGTTGGAATTTCCCATATTTCCTTCCCTCAAAAGCACAGACAGGTGACTTTGGCTCTGCCAAGAAGGTACACCCATGCCAGACTGTGATGCAGGTGCTGACAGAGACTCTGACTCCAGTAAAGAGGACACTCATTTTCTCTATTGCCTTCTTGCTGTGCTTCCTGCATTAGTTCTCAAGGTCAAGTTCCTGACATAGAAACAACCTCCATACACAACTCTGTGTGTTTGGTGGCTATAACAATAGTTTCTTTATCTGATCAACTTTGTGGCACAAATTTGGACACTGTTCCTGGAATCTTAGTCTCAAGTCTTGTTCTCCAGTACTTGTAACAAGTGTGGGAATTCACTAATAATCCCTTAATGAATTACTTTTCTGTTTAATTAGCCATGTCAGTGTCTGTATCTTACAACTAGAAACTTTGATCGACGTACCCATAGAAACAATTCACAGTTGTTGAGTTGCTAGGAAAGTCTATACATACATGATGTAGCTATATGTTTTATTTAACATTCTTATGGACTGAGTTAAGTCTACATTATATCCCTCCTGGCGCAGAGCCCATAATATTGAACATCACTGGCTACTTTTATCAAAACCATTCAACCTACTATGTGCCCACAACTTCTCACAAGTAGGACTTCATCAAAGTGCCAAAAGCAGACTATCAAGAAGCTATAAAGTGCTGAATCTGTAAAAGTTTAACACCTGTGAATGTTTACAAACGAAAAATATGCTTTCTTGCAAAATTATTACTATTATTCCTACAGAATACAAGTTGCACACACACACACGTGAATGGCACCAAGATGTATGAGTGGGATATCAATATTTGACAATTCGGTCTCTACTGGCTTCTTAGAATGACTGATGAGGAGGAGGAGAGCATTATGCAGTCATATGAAAACACATCTAATAATTTCCAAAATAACACTCATTAAGATGATGATGCAGAGACATCATCTATGAAGTTAAATTCTTGTATTTTATCCTCTAAACAAAAAATGTGAAGACTGGTTCTTAAATCAGTATCCCAAACTGGGAATCTAAATTATAGGGCGAGCTTGTATTTGTTCTTTCATGAGAAGAAAAAAGTTAATGTTAAAAGCATTTGTCAGTGATTTAGTGTATGAAAATTTCCTTGTAGAGCCTAGCAAAACCACACATGACTTTAGAAAGTCAAGGCTACTAATATGCTTTAAAAATGGAATCTGTTCACATGTGTTACAAAGCTTGTCTTTTATATTTATTTCCTTCCTCTCAAATAAGAATACTGATAAATATTCTTTGAGAGAGAGTTAAGGGAACAGATGAAAATAAAGCAGCACTTTCAGATGAGTCATATTTGGTAGACAGAGCTACACTGCCCATGGAAGCCCAAGGAAGGGTTGGCTGCCCCATCTGCCAGCAGGTGGCCTGTGGTCATCAGCTCCTTCAGGGGTGGCTTGGCTGCAGAGAGCCACTTGCATTCAGGCACTGATCCAGGTAAGAAAGTAAAGACCAGGCCCAGATTTGCTCCCTTTGGCCTTGGCCAAGGCTTTGTCAGCCTGATTTGGAATTCTCCCTTGCCTAATCCTGCTTTCTCATCCCCTCTCCTCCACAGGTGTTGATCCCTGACAAATATTCTGCATGTAAAACTCCATGTCAGTGAGAACCCAACCTGAAACAGTCTTTTTTTTGCCTTCCATTTCTATAATGATAGATTTCTCTCTCCCAATTTAAAAATATTGTGAGACACTTCAAAAATACAGAAAATTATAGACAATAACACAATAAACTTCTGTGAATCTGACCAAGCTATAGCAAACTTTAATATTTTGCTACATCTGCATCAGATGTCTTGTGAAGTAAAACATTACAATTTTATTTTAAAATACAATGAAATCCCTGGTTTCTCTTTCCTACATCCCATTCTTCTCTTTTCTTCCCTCCCTAGAAGGAATCATTACCCTAAATTTGGTGCTTAATATTCACATGAGTATTTTATATTACTACTACACATTTACATATTTACAGAGCCATAAATGGCAACAGATATAGCATTGTTTTATATGTGCACACAATTTATGCCACTGGTTTGTTGTACAGGTTTTGCAGATTGCTTTTAGTGCAACATGATTTTGAGATTTATTAACATCAATACATGTAGATCTAGCTAATCTAATTTCACTTCTCAGTAGTATTCCATTGCATAGCTATCACATAATGTCTTTATATGTTCTCACCATGAACCTTGGGTTGTTCCCAATTTTATGTAATCATAAACATTCTGTAAAATAATCTTTCTTGTATAAACCATCTTGTGCACCTGAATCACACTTCTCCAGAGTAAAGAGACCTAGAAGTGGAATTGCTTGGTCGAAAGATACACACATCTTCAGTTTTGCTTGATAATGATTGTCAGGTTACTTTTCAAAGTAGTAGTACTAATTTATATTCCAGCCAGTAATAAATGAGAGTTTCAGCTTCTTCACATTCTTACTGACATCAATTGGTATTCTGGGCCTTAAATTTCTCTTTTCTTTGGTCGTCCGATAGGCATAGAATGCTATTTTGCTTGTGTTTTATTTTGTATTTCCCTGATAACAAACACCTTTTTCCTATGTTTATTGACCAATTTAAGTTTCTGAATCTCATAGGTATCATAACTATTGGGGAAAATGTCTTCCTCCTGCCAGCACCCAGGGCTGTCCTCTTCCCTGGGACAGATTTCTTATCAGTTTTAGCCAATGTTGTAGTTTTGGCAAGTTTAGCTTTGGGCAAAGGATCTAATTTGAACCCTCACCTTAGGCCTCCTCAAATGCCTCTGGCATGGAGCTGTCAAATGGCATGCTCAAGATCACCTAGATTTGCCGGATATCTTCAGGGTAAAAGCCAGGTTTATTGCTTAGGATTCTCATTTGCATTTTGCTTTTAGTTTTGCGAACTATTTCTTTTCTTTCTAGCTTAGCCTTGCTTTAAAAAAAAATTCCAATATTTTATTGAGTATGTTTAGTTTCTTTCAGGGGAAAGACTGGTTAGAATACTGAATCTACAGTATAGCTCTTTCATATTTTCTCTTAATTTCTTTGAGCTGTAGTCAGGGAGAATTTCTCAGCACTGCCTTCAATTCACTATTTCTCTAT